GCATGTTCCTTTTTGAAGTCACTTTTATGGGTTGTCAGGAATTTCCCCTTGTACCCTTCTGTTGGAGTCCCCTCTGTTGCTCCTCCCTAGGGAGAGGGTTCCTGCCTGTCTGCACGTTATCTACGGCACACATTTCGGTTTTTCTATTTGCAAAATGTCGCATTCATCTGCCTGTAAAACCTTTACGTACACAGATATTATTCGTTCTACTTAGGGCTTAGGTGCTCCTCCAGTTGTTAGGACACCCTCGGTAGTCCCTTCGTCATACTGCTCTGGGTTCGTCCTGGCGTTTCTGTCCGGGTCGCTGGGCTTCAGGTACTGAATTAGGTCTTGAGTCCTATCTTCCTAGGTCCCGTGTGTCGTTCTCCATAGTCGAAGCTGAGGCCATGTCGTCACGAGTACTTAACCTTGTACGATTAAACTCGTACGACTTTTATTACCTAAAATCGTACGTCATAAGTTAGTAGAGCGAATAACTAAGGTCGAACCGTCATAAATTAGTATTGACCTTTACTTTAGCCGGTTTTTATGTAAAACTTCACTACTACAACCGTAAGTCTAAGGTACATCGCTACACTTATATAAACTGGGACCTAATTGCACCTGTCTACGTTGGTTATCGTTTGGTAATTTCTTTTTTATGGTCTGAATTGTCAACACATGAATCAACCCTGATTTGATTTTATCCCTATACTCATCCATTACCCATCCAAATATGTAAGACGGTGGTGCGAGGAAATTGTTATTCTGTAACGCGAACATCCCTAGGGTAAAGGTATTTAGCGAATGGTTATATATAAAAAAAAAATAGCCATGTTATTACGATATAATTCCTCGTGAATTAATTCATGGGAAAGTAGTTCATCTATTACCGAAATTACCGGTAATTTAGCATTCACAGGTCGATGTTGTCGAGGACAATAAAACGTTGTTTCTGACCTATGTAAAAAAAGGATGCAAGGAGAAAACAGAACGTTCTGTCCAGTTTTTTTCGGGTTCGGGACAAAAAGTCCAAAAAGTCCGAGCTTTTTGTAAGGGTCTTGGTTTACTGGTATAGAGGGAAGAGTTTTCCCAATTTAATATTAGAAAAAGAGGTTTCATTACTATTTGGACACTCAACCTACATTCTTTTCAGTCTTAGTTTATAGTCAACTACAAAAAATAAAATTTCTTTAAGTCTAACTTGTACCATTTTTGACATTTTTATACAACATGAAATATTACTTTTAATTGGAACCTAATACCCATCATACTGATTTTCCGAAATCCTTAGGTTTGTGTTGTATATTATTCATGGACATAGTCTAACTACGTTTTTGTCACTATAAACTGGAAAAATCTGTCTACACGTTTGTTTGGAGGGAAGGACCGGGTAAACCCACCTAAAAGGAAATAGAGACCGGGGAAGCGAGCTAAACTGGACACCTGTAGAGAAAGGACTGGAATTTCGATTATCTGTAGCGTCCCTTTAGGCAGGGTGTGTATGTGAGTTACAATTTTTTTTTTTCCACCGCAGGAATTGGGGCCGGGTAAGTTAGAAAGATGGGTCTACGCATCCTTACCGGCGAGACTATAAACTTTTATAATTGGATGACCTTGAATTGAGTGTCGAGCAAAATTGTACGGTAACTTGTGGTTCAAAACTGGGTCTGGTTTTGTCCATTCGGTACAAGTCGCAAAATTCGATGGACGCGCGGTGTACAAAACTACATGTAAAAACCAAGCTATTGCAGCGCTCAAACTAGAAGGTCACAACTCCACCGTGGCAATTCTAAGACACAGAAATGCTAGTATTTGCACACAACCTACACGTCGATCCTATATCATTATTCCCTCGATCCTCACTAAAGTCACGTCATTATTCATCGTTTAAAAAGCGTAGGCCCCCGATAAGTCTCTCAGTCACTATCGTAACCACAGAAAAAATCTTTTTTACTTTTTCTAGGTCATTTTACTCAAAAAGGGTAATAACCTATTATTTTATAAGATCAAATAATTATAATTTCAAGGAATCTCTGAACAAAGGACGTTTACTGCCGAGCAAGCCGTTGGCTTGGCCCATTGACACCCCGAATCTCACGTGAACAGACTTATGTCTTTGTGATACCAAAATACTAAACCATTCACCCACTACCAGTTCAGTCGTCAACTTATATTTAGAATGTCTATTTCATAAACCCTCTCCGGCTCGGAAATCCTCCTTCACTCTTTGAGTGCGCATAAACTCCCGTCGAGTCGAGAACGATTTAGGGACAAATTGGGGGTATATCTCTAGGGACTCCCAGACTGACCGTTTCTGTCCCCAATTTCTTTAGTAAGTCTGGTCTACTTCTACTACGTACCGAAGCGAGGGAGAGGGACACACATTGACGGAAGTAACAGAGGGGAGAGTCTAAGTGTGTATGGGAATCGTTGTTGTAAATAAAGGAGGCGACGTGAAATCAGGAGGGGTACGTTGCGAACATTCGTGGTAAATAAGAGAGAAGCCGACGGGCAGGTTGAAGAGACAGCATGGCGGAAAGTAGAGAACCATCTGGTACCTTGTCCCGTCTAATTCCTTCTCCTTCTATGAATCGCCCTCGGTAAGAAAGACGGAGAAACACTGTCCTCCCAATGACCAATCACGGTCGTCTCGGGAGGAGGACGCGACTCAAACCAGGTAATCTCTCCTACCGTCTCGTTCACTCCCTTTTCATTCCGGGACTCGGTCCCTTCACAATGTATGATCTATGCGACTATGACCTCTGTGGCCCACATAGCCGTAAGGACATAATTCACCGTAACATTATACAAGGAATATATCAATTTATGTACTTTTCATCCGTTGCAATTATCTACTTAATTTTCGTTTGTTGCAGTTTTTCGTTACATTATTTACTTTTACACGGTCCTTGGGTTAAAGTCTAAACCATATGCATTTTATACGACGTACCGATGTCCTTCTCAAATTCTTTTCCACGTTCACTAGCGTTTTGACAGTTAAACGACCTCGTTAACCTGTAAGCATTGCCCGTTTTACTTATCTCGGGCTCTACTTGTTAATTCACACTCCCGGTATATAGGGTTGTCGCGTATTAAAACGACTTTTTCATTATTCGGGCATAAAATAGCGAAATCTCAAACTAAATCCGAGAAGTTTCCCGTTACTTCTCAGCGTAAAGTTATTTGTCCGGATTTATCAATCACATTTAAGGACAGAGGGTGTCGTATTGTCATACTGATATTCTGCACAAACTGTGCTGTTGTATTTGCTGTATAGTGTCCTTACTGTAAGGTAATTAATATATGTACAGCACTTTGGCTCGACCAAAAATTTGCTATATAAATAAAGCTTGATTTGATTCGATTTACAACTAAACTTCCCGGAGCTTCAAGAGAGGTTATAGACGCTTATACTTTCTAATCATTCATCTCCATTTTATTAAATTATAATGTTCTGAGATTAAGATGAGTTCGTCCAGAGAAAGAAGGAATAAGGAAGGGAAGGTAAGGACAAGACCACCCTCCTCTCTCCTTGTCTGGAAAGTGTTGCTAAGTCGCTGTGAGGACTCCATCAGTGCTACCCAGCAATTAAGATCTCACAGATCAAAGCGGACTAAATGAGCTAATCCTCAGAGAACTCTGCTCTCTTTTCCTCCGTCTATCTCCCTCTTTCCCTCTCTATCTCTCCCTTACCCTGGTAACTTCATCTTGACTCATCGCTCCATGTGCTGACTGTGCTTTGATGCTTGACAGCGGTGGGTCTCCTTAATGTAAAATGGTGAATACATGTGCATTAATGGGTAACACTTTCATATCTTTAATGCCAATTTGCACAGTCTGGAGAGCATGTTTTCAAAGGTTTTAAGACATAATTGGTGATCATGAATCTTTAGCTACTCTATCTGATGCCCACATGCAGCGCAGCTGAGCGCACAAGCCTAACATCGTCTCATGAGGAAATTATTTTACAACACTTGATAACAAGTTATATACATACTATATGCCTGCATTAAACGTATGGCGCAACAAGCCCCTTCTGAGTGGGGTGATTGGAACCAGCGCTGGCTTGAAAGCGACTGCTCTGAGGTCAATAGTGGTTCAAAGGAGCGTGACGGCGCTAGCTGCTTAGCAGCTCGGCCATTATCATAGAAAAAGCAGAGCATCTGCCTGTGACTCCTGAGGACAGGTTTAACGAGGTGGTGCTGCTCAGCATGGGGGGCTTTTTGGCAGGGCCTGTCTGTCTCTCCCCCCTCCTGCTTCTTCTCTCTCCCACCTCTGTCTCCCCCTTTTTTTCTCCAGTCCCTTTCCTCCAGGTTTGTGCTGCCTCTTTCCATCAGGGAACCATTGTTTCATGGCGGCTTTCGTTCCCCCTCCTTTACATGTATTTCTCCCCACTGTAACTTGAATCTCTTTGTTTTTGTGTGCCAGTTGTCTGCCTCAAACTACCTCCTCGCTGTCCCTTTCAGTGTCTCCGACTGTCTTTCTGTGTCTTTTTTTTCTCTAGCCGCTTTTTTTTGTACCAGTATCTCTTTGTTTAGGGGTTTTCTACCACCAGCACCACTTGTCCCTCTTTTTCTTCCAAACCACAAGACAACACTTAGCTTCAATTAACCAATACCAGCAGAAACTCTGATTTTCAACAAATGTTGAAACATTTAGTTTGAAAAAAAAAAAAAGATTCCAGAATTTTTATAGCAATTTTCAAGCACTAACATTCTATAAAGAGAGGTGTGTCCGACTAATAGAACTGTGTTGTGTCTTATTGCACATGTTATTATTAATGTGTCACCTTTCAGATGTCCGCCTCTCAGAGTGTCAGAACCAGCAGCTGTCAGTTCTCTGCTCACAGCTTGTTTTTTTATCTCCCCAGCAGGTCCATGGTTGGATGCTTCTCTGCGGGCAATAAGAGGACCGACAGGCTCTATTTTCAAAAACCCAGTAGCGCAGCTACATCGCAGTCAGGTGCACCTTGCCAAATGTGTCAGGAACGTGCCAAACACACCTTTGGTAATTTCGTTACCGGACTCTTGGTGCAGCTATAGCACACAGTGCGCAGAAGGTGGGATTAAAGATAAAAAAAATGTATAGGTGGGTGCGTTACAAGCTGTGACAATCACATTTACTATATACTTTCACTTTAATCGCAGAGCTATTCCCGTCGTGACGCACTGACGGTTTGGGAATCTTTTGAAGAGTTTTAATTGGAGGAACATAATTGTTCTCTCGGTCTTGGGACAGAAAGTATTTTTTTAAGCTGAGTTTTACACCGGAACAATCTTTATCACATTATTTTGCTCATCCCAGCCACGCATCTAGCTCTAATATCATACAACATGTGGACCAGTGGATCTGCTGTGTGTAATTGTGGCTCGAGAGTGACATCATTGGGAACAAAACTGACTTGCAACAATAATTGGACACAACCTTTTTTACATTTTCATTTCTGCTGCCTGCCACTCTAATATGGAGGTTATCCTTTTTCACGGAGGAAATAGTCTCTAAGTCTCCTGTAAAGTGCAGCATACTCACATGCATTAAAATACCCAAACCCATATATGTGTGTTGGTCTGCACAAAGGAGATATCCTGACCTCTCTCTGTCAGATGATTGTGGGATAACCAAGTCAACAACAGGGTACACATCATTGTCCTATTTCGTAGCTTTAATGCATTTCTACTACATAGAAGCAACAATTGTATCCCATTTCCTCCACTAATGAGCGCATTCTGTCAGCTGTACCTTGACAACTTCCTCTGTTGCATTTGTTGTGTGTGTTATGGTAGTCAGCTCACTCGTGTCATCCTGCAGCCCCACAGGTCAGGATGCTAGCATTGTGCAGGCTTGCATACATAGATAACAATAGGTGCAGGTAGATTGATGTGTGTCGGTGTGTGTTGCCCTTTACTAAATAATGCCTATAGCTCTTCTTGATGCACAGCATTACAGCTTTTGTATTTTTGCATCTTTAATCAAGTCATTTGTTTTATTCTAGCTTTAACTTAGTGTATTTGTGTCCCTGACTGTTACAAATGTACTGAACAAGAGCCAAAGCTTCGGAGTGCAATCCTGTCAGGCAAACTTAACCTGTCTGGTTCCTCTAGGAATGATACTGCAAAAATACTAATAGTTAAAATAGGCCGAGTATGGGTTTTTGTTTGCAATGTTCTTTGAAACAGGTGATTAGTCTTTTATTATTATACTGGTAATGCATATTATTTTTGTTTTCCCAGGCAGAGGTGTATAAGATGCAACCCAGGGACCAACACAAACCCCAAGTCTTTCTCAGCACGTGAGAAAAGAAGGATAAACCGGTTTCTTTCAAGCTCCAGGAACTCCGGAGCAGACTGTGAATGGTATCTTTTATTTATGGACGGCGTCGGTGTGATACATAAATAATTTCTTCAACAGGGTATCGGGGGCTTGCAGTGCCAATCCCAGCCGTGGCTGATTTGCAATTTAGGTGTGGCACTGAAGGCCAGTAGTGCTGGATTTGGCATTGAGAAAAAATAGACAAGAGCTGTGATCGTGTGTGACACTGAATAGGATTACCATCTGTAGCCGAAGAGCCGATTGCTGCCCTGGATTGTATTAAAATGAGGGGACATCAGATTGGTTTGTGGTCGTGACAAGAAAGCAGATTTTGTTTTATAGCTTGAGCACGGTGCTTCTAAATAGTCCTGCTTAAAGCTGCATTTCAGATACTGATTTTAATTCAATTTTTTGTTGCAATGGTTCAACTGCAATTACAACCTACACAAAGTTTCTGGCATAAGAGCTCAGTGATACAATGATGGTTTCAAATCAAATACGTGACTTGTACCTTTTTATGATGAGAATGTTGTTCTTTTTCACATCTTTCTTGGGCTAATGGATGGAGGCAGAAAGGAGGCATTGCTTCCTGTTAAGTCTGTTCCATGAACTCTGAAAGGGCAGTAGGGAGAAAGTATTTCCATTATGTTCCAGTAGAGGCAGCTTAACTTTCTCTTTGTTCTGTGTATTGATTCTAGTGTATTGTGGCTCTGTGCGCCGAGCCAGTGAACCACCCACCAGCTGTCCTTGCGGTGTCAGCGAAGTGAATAGGAGTTTGATAAAGTCGCAGATGTTATGCTGCTCCCACTCCTCCGTAACTGCCATTCCTGATGTGTTGCTACATACACGGAGTCAATACAATTTCAACCGTTGGAGCTGAACATTGATTAGGATAGGTTGAAGGTCCTATGTTTGTTTGTCTGTTTCACATGTGTGTGTTTCAGGCATTCACATGTGATGTTGAACCTGTACTCTGCACAAAAGCATAATTATTGCCCTTTTTCAATTTATTTCTTAATAACATTTTTGGAAATAGAGCATGATACATACATTTTAACAATAAGTGGATTTCTACCCTGCACTGATTTCCCCTGTGAATCTTTTTGCTTGGAAGTATACCTGTGAAACTGATTTTGCTGATGTGTACAACTGAGTAAGGCTGCAACTCATTGGGAGGCTTGGTCACATCATCAAGTTAAGGGACAACAATTGCAGCTAAACCAATTAATTTGAATGGAATTGCTATGATCAATAAATTCAGTCGTATGCAGAGACAATGTATATCTGGGCAATTTCTTTTTGCATCATATTTGTGCTAATGATCAATAGTATTGACAGTGTTAATGTTTGATTGAATCCAGAGATGGAGAGGAAGCATCTGAGGCATATTGATCTATCCGCTTTTATTGAACCTTCCATTGTCTTCATTTTTATTTGGTTATTGCCTTCATTTTGCATGAATAGATGTATTTTTCTTTTCAAATGGAGGAATTATTTTGCAACAAAAGTTTCCGAAGAAACAAACTAACTCACAAGAAAATTAATAAATTAAGTAAGTAGTGCTGCCGCATAAAGGAAGAGAATGTCTTTGTGGAAACTGCTATTCTTCATATCGAGCCACATCAAACCTTGCACGGCGGTCAAAGACGTTTAGTTGTTAGAAACACAATACTTTACTTGTGAACAGCATAAGGCCCTGCAACCTCTGCTTTATATAGAGATGTATATCTCACGTTGCACGAGCATTACAAATATTTGAATGCTTTCCAAAAATGCTTGCATAGCATCATTTAAATTGTTTGCTGTTAGAAAAGTTAGGCTTTCCTTGCCTGAGCAGCACCAATTTGTGTTTTGAGTTCTACTGCCGGGCATTTCAAAGACTGCCATTGATGATCTGACAATGGACCTTTGAAATCGTAACAAGATGAGTGCTCCAGACATGCTGCTGACCCTCTTCTTTCCTAGATACTGAATACCCCTTGTCTTATGTTAGGTAACTTTCTCCTGGAGCCACCAGTGCTGACAGTGGCAGAATACAAGGACTGCTCGTGTCTAGAAATGTCCTTCTTATACCCCTCCAGAGTCTTAGAAGTGAAAGGAGGAAGGACAAGGCGTCACTGTGACACAGAGCATTAGAGAACAAAGGAGCAAACTAAAAGCTTAGGTCTTTGTGCACTGAATTCTGACCCCTGCTGCCAAATGTAGGTTAAATATGAACGTTTTGTTCAGCTATTAGAAAAGATATGCTTGCATATACACAAGTTGGAGTTTCCACAACTTTTTCTGTCTCTAAATCTGGTGTGGAAGACAAGAGAGTTGCTTTAAATATCCCCACACCAATACTCCAGCAGTTAGCTGGCCGGGTAGAGAGTTATAGCGCTCGTTCTCCCTCTGTGGCTGTGAATGTTGGTATTGGCAGTGGGTTGCACTTGCTCTCAAGGCACAATAATGGTCTCAGTCCAGTTGTTCATCAACCTTTTCTGCCATCATTTGCATTAAAGTGCTAGAGACTTGGATTTAACCTTAAAACTTTTTGTGCTAATGGCTAAATACAGCCCAAAGCCAGGAGCAAGTGTCATAAAACACCAATTTTATTGCACTAACATGCCATAAAGGTAATTGTCTTTCACACACACACACTCTTAAACACACTGCTCTACAGCTTAGTTTCCTCCAACGCCGGTCACCACAAAGCCTCAAGAGTGCCACTTCACATTCTGCAGAGCCAGTTTAGAGACAGAAACCTTGAATAATACTATTAAATCACAGAAGGCGATATAATTATAATGCTGGATTGATGTGATGCTGTTACTGTATTTGGGGTATAGTTATTTTTCAATTTATAGTCACATCCACGAGCTTGAAAGTGCAAATTGACCTTTGGCCGAGCGCTCGTCCCTCTTTGTAATCGTCATTAAACTTAACAAGCTATCTCTTTTGGCGTGGCACTTATGCAGTTTACATTGACAACCAACACAAATTGACCATTGTAGCAGTTGGTAATTGTTCATTTATAAGCAGGCTTTCCCACTTTTATCAAGTATCTTTTTTTTAACAGCCGAAATTACAACACTTGCTGTTGATCTATCCCCTGTAGCTAGCTAGCTATTTAAACTAACTTTTTTCTAAAGAAACCCTATAAAGGGGATATGATCTTACTGGCTTCCAAAAAGTCCGCATCTTCACCAGTTCATGATCGATGTGGAATACATGAAAAATAATGAAATAGTATTTAGCTTGTGTTGCAATGTAGTTCTACTTTGTCCTGGCGTTTAGCTTACATAATTTGACAAGCAAGACACAGGTTGGATGCTTTACTTTCATATTTTTAAGCAGTATATTTCACTACAAGAGAATAGGCTTTTAGAATAATGACTAACCACATTTGGTAAACATCGGAACTAACACAGTTGGCTAGATTGAGTTCAAACTTGATCAAATAATATCAACAACAGGATGATGGATGTGTGATCTTGAAGACTACTCCGTTAACATTTAGGACTGGCTTCCACATAGTGGTTGTATTATTGTTCAACATTTATATCCCTTGTATCCCTTTTTGGCCTGAGAGCAATTCTAGGTTAGTTCGCGAGTGAGCTGTTCATGCTAATGCTCGTAGTTTATGTTAGAGCAGATAAAAGCAGTGTTTAATGCATTTCTCAAAATGTTGCCCTTGTAATTTGAGTTCTGAGGCTTAAAAAGGTAATTATAGACAATTGTTTTAAACTCAACCCAATGCTCAACACTTCAACATGTTGGCTTGTTGTAGCTAATAATGGTTGCTAACCTATGATTGAACAATATCTGTTTTCGGAATTAATCAAATGCAAAATTCTTCAAGTATGTTTCTGATTTATTTAGGTCAATGGCAATCACTTGGTTGTCCTGCTTTTTGTCTAGCATATTTATGCTGAAAATGAACTTTTCCTTCATCCCCCCAAACATGTGCTAAATAAGTAGCATTCATTGCTCTCTATTTCATTCACATACGACATTCTGTTTCAAGTACCTAATTTTAGTTTCAGGAAGTTGCTTTCCAAGGCAAGAGTCTCTGTCAAAAAATGCATTCTCTTCTCTTTCATCGACAGTGTCATTTAATGAGAGGCACTTACAGTAGTCTCTAACACAATTAAGTGTTTCATGACACCCTCGGTAAGAAAATTAATCTCTCCAAATGAAATTGGTCTCAGTGCTCAGTATGTCACCCAGTGGGATGCAACTTCATTCCTATTCATTGACCCTCCATGACTTAAAGCTCATTTCCTGAACGTGTCGCTTCTCGAGGCTCCCGCAGCAGGATGCAGGCTTTCAACCATACCAGCTCAGAAAGCCTTCCCCTCTTTCCATTTGATTCAAGGATTAGATTTGATTACAGATTTGAGCTGGACAACCTCTGCGAAAGCCGTGCAATCCCCCTTTTTTTTTTTCTTGAAGTCTTGTTACATTTACATAAAGCAGACGGGATTTTGGCTTGAGATTCTTCAGATTTTCCCATGTTTCATGAGCACAACAAGGACGGTTACAACACATTAGAATAACACAAGTGTAGTCAAAGATCTAGGAATTCATTTGTTGACTGATATATTGCTACCATCAACTGTTTCTTCAGTGAATAGGTCCACGATTGGCATTCAAAAATCCTTTAAAATGACATTCACTTTTTGTCATTGGCTTGAACCTATCTACAAACAATACACTGTTTCACTCTACACATCTTGTCTCAAATGTCATGTTCATAACTAATAAAAATGATTACTGTTCAACAACAAGACAAAGACATGTTTTTTCTTTTTCCCTTTGGTGGAAGTGTATTGTGTAAGTGTTTATGTAAACATAGTTTTGACAGCAGTTCTCAAATGAAGAGAACCCATGTGCCACACAAGCAAAGAAATAATACAACCAAACTCTTTGCACACTCATAGTCCACATCTAGGACATGTTGGCAGCAATAGAAAACAAGTAATACATATTTTTGTTTTGCGTAGTCATGAAAATATCTGTTTTATACAAAAATTAAATACAGTTACAGTATGTTACAACTTTTTTTCCCCTTTTACAGGTGAGCTCAAGCATGACTACAAAGCCTCTGAAAAAGAAAAGGAAAAAGTTCTAGATTTGTCAAGGGGCTCGATAATAAGACATGTGCAGCATTTGGCAAAACAACAGACACCCTTCAGCAAAGTAAATTCACCAGTCACTGAAGCACAGGGGGGAGAAGGTGAAGGAAAGGAGGGGAACAGTGAGGAAAGGAGATAGCAAGTCGGGAAGGAGGCTGTGAGGCAAGATGTTTTAAGATGTCCCCGTCCACATTATTATTTTTTAATAACTTCAGATGATACTTAGAAATCATGTGTCTAGTTTTGTACAGTTTGCTCTCAGAGTGTGGGCAGCTCTGTCCCAGTCTTCAGTCTGCCTTAAATAAAGTACCAGCCAATGACATAATCAAAAAGCGAAGGCTCCAGCCGCTTCCTCTGTGACACTATCAGACGGCAGTGACTCCACCTATCCCTTCACATATCCATTTAGCATTCAGTATAACAGATCAGTGCACAAGCTGTTGCACCAGTAACACTGTCACCCATCACTGTGGCCTTGGATGTACAAAAAAAGTTGCTTATATTGTATGCTGAGCACATTGTCCTGTATGTCCTTAAGGTTGAAAGTTCAATCTCAACATGTGGTTTTAGGGTTTTGGTTGAGGATGAGAGGCCGTTCAGGTCTCTCAGCAAAGGGAAACAATCAATAGCGGGAGCACTACGAGGGTAAGCGCGACCTGGCGGATGATGGGGGGATGATGGAAGGAGTCCTGTCCAGACAGTTGGTCGTCACACTCCCCGGGGCCCTGGCAACGAGCTCTCTCACACAGGACGCCGGTGAAGCTGGGGGAACAATGGCACCGCTGATGATGGTGGCAAGTGCCACCGTTCTGACAGCGCAGCATCGAGTTGTCACACACCCGAGCTGCAGAGGCAAAGCAAAAAGGGCAGGGGAGACAGGAAGGGGTGATTAATAGATCACTCAGTGATAGGGCGGCTGAGAACATCAACAGGCAAGTTCACAGGGCACAAGCTGCCTCTTCTTGTCCTGTCTGCATCGCTCTGTGTCCTTAGAGCACAGCTGACACATTAGGGAGGGTGAAGCCAAGGACTTTGTGAAGAAGTATGCAGAGGAGGAGGAGACAGATAACCAGAACACATACTATATGAAAACTAGAATGTAGTCCACAGCCTGTGACAACCCCTTTCCACAAATGATTTGTTATGAAAAAGAAACACAAACAG